GCTACACAGAATGGCTCCACACAGCCACAGATTCAATCATGCCCGAAACGTCAATGGGTAGATGACAAACACAGCCAGCTGTTCGGGTAATTCCTGGCTTCCTTCTATCCAAATCCGTCCAAGAGTAGTCGCTTAAGCAGATAAACACGGCGAGGGGCAGTCAACCGGTCAAAAAACCACGCTAGCAGGACGTAGGAAAAGCCTATCTGGGACTTGATCTGAACGGTGGGAGGAGTCTTCGCAAATCATTAAACTGCTACCGCCGGTTCTATCTAGGCAACCAATCAGGTACGAAAAACCTAACAGGGCGACTCGGTCACAGATCTCGTAGGGCCCCCTGGATGAGGACGTCGGGATGATCGTAACCGATGGTTAGAGACACCGAGTGTGACATGGCTGAGTGTCGTAAACTGTGACGCGCAAGTGCATCTCAATTTCCTTGCGACATTAGTCCATTGAAATACTCCATGGCGAACGAATAATAATCATAATAATTTTTAATACCTTAACAAAGAGGCATACGGGAATTTAATAAAAATCGCAACCTGAATCGCCTCAATGAATGAGAGAATATCGCCCGACCCACGGTAGACAAATGCCCCAGATCTTATTGTTTGACCCAGGGTTATTTCGTTGAACAGAGAAATGTTTTATCAGAGAGACGGATGATTTGATTCCAATTGAAAAAAGCACCAAATAAAGCGCGAAGTGAAAAGCGATAAGCGAGACTGGCCAGCTATTACTACCAGGTTAGATCTGTAACGACAATATTTTCATTTTCCAACACCATCCCCCTGACACATGTAAAGACCCTATTTTGTTTTATTGCCCTCCGTTTCGAGAACTCATATGACCTGCGTTAGTTGCGTGAGTTGCGTAAACTTGGCCAGCTGGTTGGTCACCTTAGCTAGCTTAAACTGGGCCTCCACTTGGGCCAGCCAGAACTCCGGGTCCTCGGGAACAAATTCGGGCAGCCGGGCTTGTAGGCCCAATACGCTCGATTCGTCTGTCGCTGCCGTGGCGCTATGCTCTTTACCTTCAGAATATTGATTGAACATGATAACGTAGGAGTGAATGCGGGAAAAAAATGAACAAGCTAGTTGGGAGGAAAATGCCCGAATGACAGTGAAGATCAAGGTACTGGTGCGGTATACCCCAATGATGAAAAAAATGTCTACAAACTGTCGAAATGCAAGTACCGGGATACGTATACGTTTACGAATAAAAATTCGAAAGCAGAAATTGACTGAGTAGAAAAGGACAATAAATGCAGTAAAACTTGCAGACAGTGGCGTGCTAAAAAGAAACGGGGTAACTGAACTCGGGCTCACCAATTTAGCACACCAAGTAGGACAGAAGTCAACACGCGTATACGAATCCAACCGATCGGGCTTATCGAACAATTCCCAGAGCAAGTGTGAATTGAGAACGAAGTCAAGTACGAGCGTATGTAGTGTAATGTGGCCTGCAGTGGAATATGTACAGAGAGCAAAGCGCACGATACAACTCACCGGAAATTGTGCCAGGTTCGAGGTCATATGAGTTCTCGAAACGGAGGGCAATAAAACAAAATAGGGTCTTTACATGTGTCAAGGGGATGGCGTTGGAAAATGAAAATATTGTCACGACGAGCGAAGGAAAA